AAGCAGTGTTGGTTTAGGATGAGAGTTTTCCTTTTCCTTGCTGGACTACTTTCCCAGGTTGAAGAGTGCCACCTGACACTCACTTTCCTCTACAACATGTGCACAAACCGCCTTCTTGACCATTGGACTCACTATTGGTGTCATTTGCTCAACCTGCCAAACCCTGTACTAACATGTGAAGTCCCTAACTCACCAAGGGTTTGAGAAACATCAGCTACCCTCACTTGCTTCAGCTGGCCAGTCAAAGCCATTTTCCGGGGTGTGGCCACTGTCACACACTTACAGCTTTTAGGAGTCACACGTGAGATCTGAGTGCGGGGTGGGGACAAAAGGTGAACAAACTATTCCAGAAACATTACTACTATTCCCCTAACACCCCATACACCCCACAACACCACAGGCACACACACACACACACAAAAAGCAACCTTGATGTGACTGAATATTACCAATCTGTGGGGATTGCAGTAGAGTGTCAAAGCGTGATTCCATAGATCAGCCTCTCTGTGGAATTTTTGAGCTCGGGGTCCGGTGCCAGAACACATATGAGAACTATTTGACTCACCCGCTCAAGGTTAATGAGACCAGGAATGGTGGCAAGTGCCAGACTCCCACAAGGCATTGTGGCTGATTGGCTGGAAAGGTCAAAGAACAGGGCATGCGCACAGCCAGGCAGGTAAAGCTATTCAGAACACTGGGTTTTCAACAGGCATAAATGTGGTAAGTGCCTTTGTAGCCCAAATAGTATAGGTCACAATGGTAGTGATTTGTGGATGAACAGTATTTGTTTGCTTATTTGTTGCATATTTACTTCCAGCAATGTGTAATTACAAGGTCCAGGTACCTTTACTAGTTCTTTCTTAAAAATGACATGTAAAGTTGAGTTTAGCTTTGAGTGAAAGGGAAAATCTCTGTCAAGAAAAAAACAAATAAATGCAAGCGTAATGCTCTCCAAATACAGTTATGCCACACCACACTCTCTAAATTAAAATCTAGCTGTTTGGGGACTTATCCTAATTTCCCACTTCAAATAAATAGAAGAGCAGAAGTTGACTGATCAATAAAAGGAAAAAAAATATTCATGGTGCCTGAAGGACTTTTAAAGAATGTCACATTCAGATTCAGAATTCTGATTCTGTTTAAAGTTATTAAAAGAGCTAATGTGGGGATTAAAAGTGAGGTAATGGTGCCATTAAGATAAATGACGGTTACAGAATAAATGATAATTTGGCATGGATATAAATTACCCTGAGTTGATTAAGTTAATGAAGCCTGTAAGGAAAGAATCAGATAGAAATTCTCAATATCTGAAGAAGAAAGTTTTGGATGAGCTAATGTAAGAATAAACGTTGAGCTTGCCTCATACTATTTTGCTTCTAGTGTCCTAGATTGTTTAAGTAACTGATACTTGTTACTCAAAGAATGGGGGGGGTGTCCAATGCGAGTGAACAGAGCTGGTTTGTGACCAAATGTTATTTTTTATGTTATGTGTCTTACTTTTTATTTTAATAAATATTTTATTGATAAATCTTCCTAAAGTTGTCTCACCCTTGTAGACAATAACCCAGTACTTTCAGGTTGTAAAAGCCTACTTGGAAAATATTTGAGCAAATAAAACCAACATCAGCACTCAGGTTGATTTAAACTGACAAACTTACATGAGATCATGTGTTTGCAAAAAAGTTATCTGTAAATTTATATTGCTGAATTGTGGCTCCGAAATAATATGAAAAACAGGTTCACCTATGATGGAATAAAAATTATGTAGGGTTTTTTGTTTGTTTGTTTTGTTTGCTTGGTAAGAATGACTTACATATCTTTACCTTTGTTTGCTTAATGACTTGGACATCACTGATGCATCTAGGGATCCAGGGGCTTGGTTAAATTCTAACCCTTTACTGGTTTCAGGAATGTAGGAGAGTCTTGCTCCATCTCTCTCTCTCTCTCTCTCTCTCTCTCTCTGTGTGTGTGTGTGTGTGTGTGAGAGAGAGAGAGAGAGAGAGAGAGAGGGAGGAGGAGGGAGGAGGGAGGGAGGGAGGAGAGATAAAAATACATTGACTAGTTGGTACCATGTGTGTGCTTTGGAAGAAGTTTGATGCATAGTTTGATCGTTTGGACTAATTTAACTTCCAGCAGAACACACAGCTACTTCTTCCATTGTCACTAAAGCACAAACCTCACAGTTGAAACAGACCTGCTTGGGCTTCCAAACAGCATGTAAGATGTCTTTCAAGTCAGATGGAGCTCTTCTCTGAAAAGTGTTCAGTTCCTAGAAATCAATAGTAAGAAACAGCTCAAGAGTTCTGTGCTTTATATGTGTGTGTGTGTGTGTGTGAGCGCGCACGCGCATTAACTCACTAATACTGGCATTTAAACTTGTTCTCGAAAACAGTTTTCAGAAACATCAGGGTCCCTCACTAATTCTCATTTCCCTTTCTCTTCTCCTCTCTCTAGTAGTGGCTGGCATGATGGGACGCTGCCATCACTATAGCTTAACTGAATGGGGCTGAGGCAGGACAGGATGAGGGCAGGGCTCCACAGATTCACAGTGTGGTACTGTCACTAGTAAATCTGTGCAGCTCAACCTTGCTGCTGCCCTCCTCTGTACCACATCCAGCCCAGAAATCTGCACTGAGGCCAGCGTGAACAGTGGGGTCAAAGGGACTTCACAGCTCTGCCCCACCCTGTCAGGTACTGATGCCTCCCTCTCTAGAATTGGAGATTTTCCTTAAGGAATATATCTGTCTCCCTATTAAGTTAATATTCTATATTCATACAATCAAGTTGCACTTTGGACTCCATTCATTTTGGCTAAAAAATCAGCTTCTTCTTCAATGTGAGAGAGGTTTTCTACATAACTACAGATGCTGAGAATAAGTGCTTTACAGTATGATGTTACCAACCCCCCCCCAAAAAAACCACCCACTCAGGGTCCATTATTTTAAATGACTATAAATGAGGAGGTTATGTGAAGAACTAATCAAGAGTGTTTTTCTATGATTGCATATGATGCTGATAGCAGAGACATTGAAGAAGCTCTTTTTTCAGTTACAGAAACTTAGTGTGCAAGCCTATTCATGTTTATTTAGAGGCAAGTCCCATGTAAGTTATGCATGGATAAAGTTTAGCAATTAAGAGGGCTTGGCAAAGTGTAAATAAATAAGTAACCCCCCCCCCAAGTTGATTAAAGCAAGATAAATTTGTCCTCCTTTTCCACTTAACCTCCAAGATCCTATTTTATTTGCTATGCATTTGACAAGGCAGGGTAAACTCTCTCCTTCCCCATTCTCCACTAGCAAGAGAAGGGGAACCATCCAAAAACATGGGGCATGATAAATGAAATAAGGAACAGTTTAGCTTGTGCATTCCCAGACTCATTTGTGCTTCAAGGCCCCCAAGACCCTCCCCTGTAAATAACTTCACATGGACACATATTTTAGTTTGAATTATTGGGCAAATTTTAGGCCACAACTTTATTGATTACAGCAAAGTGAGCGGTATTGGCTTAGGCATTGGCAACAGACTATAACTGACTCCCCGCTTCTCTGGCTGATAGTCTGAAAGGGTAAACATCGAAATAGGGAGCAACATCGATGAAGACTAACCGAAGCTCAACCCTGGGTTCCTGTGGTCCTGGCATGGCCCTAACCCCTCAAGCAGACTTCAGACGAGATCCAGGACCCCCAGATTCCTTTACCAGAATACCCTTTTTCTGGAGGAGCAGGTGATGGCCGCACCTCCCCTCCCACACATTTCTATAAACGAATGCCTAACCACCAAACCTTACAAAGTTGTGACAATTGCTGAGGGAGTAGGCGAAAACCAAGTGGCTATAGCCAATCTGCCAAACGGAAAAAATTCCTACCCAACCCCTGTTCCAAAACAGGCAACCCAATCCACAGCAAGGCCAAAGCAGCAACACCAAACATTAAGGAGGGAGGGAGGGTGTCCGACAGCACAAAGCAAGTGCCCCAAATTGCATTGCGCTGCCACCTTTATAGACCCTGGGAATCACGCCACCTCACGTGATTGGCCCAAACAGCCTGGCATGATTCCAGGGCTGAAAGTTAAGACTTGGGCTACATCCCTAAATAATAAACCCTGTGGGGGTGTCCTAGGGGCCCGCGCACAACCAGGACCCTCCATAAGGAGGGTCCCATTTCTTGACCACTTCATATTCTAAGATAGAAAGTCTCCAGTGGCGACTTAATAATTGCTAACATCACATTAAACATCTACGCATCTCTAAATGGGCAGAGTAGCAAAGTGACCCCGCTCAGAGCTTGGAAAGAGAAAGAATAGCTGCTTGGGACCTGTTTATCATCATAGCCCTTTCTGTGTCATTCTCAGAACAATGCATTGGGCGAGGGTAATGGGAAAAGGCATTTAAAGGGTTTTGTTTCAGTTTGGTGCAAGAGCCACCAGACAGGCAAGATGGGCAGAAGTGCACAGGTACCCATTTTCTCAAGTAAGGATGCGGGGGGAAATTAGTTCAGTTCACACTGAAAGGCAAACCTACCCAATTCACACTTTCTGAAACAATATGCAAACCAAAACATCATCTTTCAAAAATCATACTTCTTCAAATTTGGTAATGCAGGTCTCCAGCTAAGTAAAGAAATAGCTTTACCTATCCTCAGGTAGACAAAAGTGGTTGTGTGAATAGGAGTGCGTTCTTTACCATTGTAGACTCCACAAGGGTAAAGAGGTGCGGAATTACCTCTACTACTTTATATATTTAGACTAGTATTGCTCCCACCTACAGTGTGATAGTTCAGGATAGAACAAGAGCTGAATATTAGAATAATATAGGAATAAAAACTGAGCACATATAGTCTCAGTTTTGGTTTTGTTATGCTGTAAATTTCACCCAACCTTTCCTTTTTTGTTCCGATAAAACTTGGCTCTAAAACCCAATTTAAGCAGTGTTTTAAAATGGAGATCCAGCTCAGGCTTCTGCAGACATTTTAAAACATGATTATTATTCTTATGCCTCCTACGGTGTTGCCCAGAATCCTTAGGATATGCCCTCAAAGAGTCATTTCCCCACTTCATGGAAGTAGAGATTGGCACATATACACAACATAATAATCGAAAACAAGATATAGTAAATTAGATTCCTAAATTTGGGCTCGAGGTCTCCTTGTCGATACCAGTAGATAAGAATGCCAGCCGAAACACTACACAAGGAGATGCAGAAAGCAAAAAATATATTCACCGGTTTTGGAGGTAGTTGAGGAAAGACAAAAGCACTGATTAGAGTGACTATGAGCAGCAATGATGTGACGCTGCCAACAGCTAAATTGATTATTCTATCCCTTGGCGAAGTCTCTCCAAAGAGAGGTCTGTTGTCCAGCCCTCTGGTCCCATATGTCCGGGTGGTAAAGTCCTCCATTGTTCCCCCAACTCTTCTCAAGCTTGGCAGTGATCTCTCACTCCCACATCGGCAGATCCTCTTAGAACAGACCCACTCCTTGTCTCAGAGGCCTGGAGCCCGGGGCAAAAAGCAGCCGCAGCATCAGGCGGAGGGAAGAGTTTATTTATGGAAAACGCATTTCTCTTGTTGCTCCGCAGGCTGCATACAACTTGGGCGTTCAAAGCCAGGGAACCCAGCCTCCTCTCCTCCAAACCACGACTCCCTTCCTCATGATCAAGAGCTGTGCGAGGCGCCCGGGAGAAGAAGCCCCTTTGGGGAAAGAGCGGCGGCGGCGGCGGCAAGTTCCTGCTCCCCCCTCGGCCGGATAATCCTCCTCTCGCCAAGTGTCGCAAACCAGCAGCCTATTCTTATGCAATATGTACATGGTAAACTCCCATGGATCCTGTTCACATCTCCAGCCTATAAAAGGCATACTAAAATAAGATCATTGAATTACAAAGAATGTCAATGGAAGAACAATTGCAAACAACATCAAGGTATCTACCCGCCCCACAAAACAGAGAGTTTTTAAAAAGCAGATAAGAAAGAGGACAGGCAGTGAGTTTGAGAGCAAAGTGTGTTAGTAACTTGTTATCACTGGCACATGGAAACAGAAATTTCTCCCAATACCATTGTTTCCTCTGGCAATTAGTGAAATAGCAGTGCTTATGTTTGGAAGATATTGCATGTGAACAACATAAATTTCATTTGTAATTTTATGAAAATGAGTTGCCCTACTGAAATGTTTAAAGCTTATTGCTTTAAAATAAAAAAAACTTTGACCTCAGTAGGAAGGCTGGATGATTATGAGGCTACTTATAAGAAGCAACAGCAATTACTACAATTTGCATATCTAAATTGTCATTTTTTTAAAAAAACTACTAATGACTTAAAATCTCAAGCAGGTTTTGACCTATAATCATTATAACCGTGGGTTATGAAAATAGACAACAATCCACATTTTCCCTGATGAGCTATCTTGCTTTAGACATAATTCAGGCTGAGCTCTTAATTATTTTAAATAGCTAAACCACATGTTTTATGAAGGTTTAAAAAGAAAAGAATTTACGTGAGATGTGTTTTAAAGTTTATACAAATTTCAGTTTCTGTATATTTACCCTGACACACATTATACCTAGAGTGTACAATTAATTTTCTCCACACACAGACCTATTGACTTACTTACCCACTAATAATTTGTAGATTATAATGTAAATATACCACTTGGCCATCATAAGCAAGCAACAGTAATCAAATGACACTGTTGGTGGTTCTGCCTTTCTTTCTTGAGTAGATTATAAATAAATGCATTATGAATTAGATCCTTCTAGACTTGCAAAGTTAGGTGGCAGAGTCTGTACTACTGGTGCACTAGTTTTCAGTGTAGCAATATATAAATATTGTAAGAGAGCTGTCATCATTAATAGTCCTCTAATATTCCAGTTGGTTAACTATCTAACTTGACAATCCTATATTCAGAAGCTAATTAAGTCCCATAGGTTATGAATAAGGAGGAATTTAGTAATGTAATTTACACTTCCCAAAACAATATGAGAATCGAAACACAAGCATTATGAAAATATACCATTTGTGTTGTAATAGTATGCACTTCATGGTTCCTTAAAAATTCATAAAGAAGCAAGCTTCTAGAAGTCAAAAATTATGTGATTTGTTATTAAAGGAACTACTCAAAATAGATGTTTCTGCTTCCAGAATTTATCATCTGGTTATAAATATTTCAGCTGGTCCTCAAGTCCCAGTGTCTTTATTCGTTGTTCAGGCTGTCCCTATGTCAACATTTCCTCCTTTTGAGACTGAAAGGGTAAGTTGCAATATGGCATGGGATCCTCTGCTGTTTTAGCAAAAGGACAAAATGCTGCTGCTTTACCTAAAGTCTTGAGTATATCTTAAGTAGCAATCTGGATCCCAGCAATAGGTATGATAAGGACAAAAGCTAACATGCTGATTTACCCCAATATACCACCTATACTGTACTTCTGGTTTGGCTTGCCATTGCGGCGGCTGTTGATTACATCTGAGCTGTTTTGCATGGGATATTTTGAGGATGAGATGGGAGTAATCATCCTCCCAACCACCCCCTCCCCAGGGCCAGGAGGAGGGCAGCTTCACCCACAGATCACCCAACACCTGTCCCCAATCCAGTAGGAATGAGGTGGAAGGGGGCGCTGGGTGGGAAACAACTCTCCAAAGTCACCTCCATGAGCGAATAAACTCCTATGTTTTAAGATGATAATTCGGACTTAATTATCGGGCATGCTCTGAGTGAGGGGAGATAAACTACTCTGCCAACTGATTCAGCCACTGGGGAGCTAAAAGATTTGAGTGGAAGAGGGACTATCTTTACTATGGAATGGGTATGTCAGAACGGAAAGGTGGGGGGGGTCTCCTTTTTTTTCTTTTTGATATATTGCACATTTGCTATTTCACTTGGCAAATCTCCCTGGAAAGTCTGAATACCTATATGTATGCAAGCAAGACTGTACTATTCTGTAATATTGATACAGTGGTGCCCCGCAAGACGAAATTAATTTGTTCCGCAATTTTTGTCGTCTAGCGAATTTTTCGTCTTGCGAAGCACGAAATCCCATAGGAATGCATTGAAAATCAATTAATGCGTTCCTATGGTCAAAAAAAGTCCAAACAAAGCCAAATTTGGTACAACAACAGTTTATTAACTGCTCTTTAAAGTCACACATACTGTAAAGAGCAGTTCAAAAATTGAAGGGAAAATAAATTAACTTTATAAACAAAACATGTCTTTGTTTTTAGACAAAGAAAACAAAGTCGCGAGATGTTTTCGTCTTGCGAAGCAAGCCCATAGGGGAAATTCGTCTTGCGAGGCAAATCGAAAACGGAAAAACCTTTCGTCTAGCGAGTTTTTTGTCTTGCGAGGCATTCGTCTTGCGAGGTACCACTGTATAATTTTGATCTAATTATTAACTGTGTGGAAAAGATTTACGAATTTGCATTTAATTCTGATGGACTGTTAAGAGCGGAAGATGGGAATTGAGGCTTCTAGCCAAAGTATAGGCTTATCTGTTCTAGTACAAGATGAAACAAAGAGGTTTTGACATACGCCTGGAACAATTAGCAGAAAGCCAGATTTCCTCCATTTTGGGACGTGTCGTATTGGATAACTACTGGCATGAAGAAGTAAAAGACACAGAAGGAAATAAACACCCACACAGAAGCACACTGTTTTGATATAACTCGCTTGTTGGATGAAGTCAGAGGCTGTGAAAACGTACAAAGCATTAAGATTGGATTGATTTATCGGAACTACCTGGACTAATTAAAAAAGCAGCGCAAAGGTGAGATGATGGCTATCCTCTGACCTCAGAGCATGGGAAGTCAAACAAAGATTTATGATTTGGCTTAATATTTGAACTGTTTGATTATTTTATAATTCAGAATGTCTTTAATGTGGCCTTTATTGGATTATTAAATTGGAAAACTTAATAGATTTTTTTTTAAATAATACATATATGCCACCTATGCTACCATTAATCTTGGCAGAACTAGGACTCTTCCTTGAGTTGACCCTGTTGCTTCTTAACATGTCAGAATATAAGCTTATTATTATTAATAGTGTAGCAAAAGCTGCATAAAGTAAGAAGAAAATTATTGAGTGAGTGTGCCCCCCACAAAACCAGTAAACAACCGAAACCAGTTGTTTCAATTTACAGCTAAGCTGCCCTCTACTGACACACAAAACAGCTGATGGTCTCAGCATTTCTCTGTTATAGTTAATTCATTCTCCAGCATTAGAATAGACAGAAGAACTGAACCTCCTGAGAATGTCAGAACTGTGGAACTGAATATTTCATAGAGAGCAGCTCTGACAGATGAACTGGAGGTAGCTTTCTTCTCAAGCAAAAGGAGCTTGTAGTCAAACCCAATTTTGTACTTGATTGATTTGGCTCTCCTAAGCCCTCAGCTGTTTTCTTATCTGGATATGGACAGAGACCAAATGCAAAGCACATTCAGAAAATTTCCAGTTAAAACAAAGGGAAGAGAGAAGCAATCCAGTCATATGTATTAGCTTTGTAACTTACATCGTACAAAGAGATGTTTGTGCTTCAGCAGCATCAAATATTTAACCAAAGTCATGTTTTACATTGCTGTCCATTAACTTGTAAAGCTCTTAACAATGGTACAGAGTCATGCTGCTCTTATGGGGAGGATCCCAGTTGGTTAGCAGGTGGAGAGCCAGCCTCTGAAGGAAGCTCAGGCAAACTCCCTGAAGTGCCTCCTCTCCAGGCATGCTTCTCCTAATTCTCTAGCCAAGAAGCACCCTCAGACACCTTCCCCATCACACAGGAGACAGAGGGAAGTAAATCTGATGCTGAGCTGGCACCTACCCCACTTCCAGCAACACTGACAGTGTGCACAAACCTCACCTAGACAGCTCTCTAGGAGTTGTCTCAAGCTGCTTGGCACATTGCATGCTGTGCCCACTCTGTCCTTCAAAAGGAAAGTTTAGGGGTCATGTTGCTTGTTGGTTCAACATCTTGGCTTGCCTTTGACCTCTCCTTTACTGCTGATCCTCACCACCTGTGACTTGCCTCACATCCTATTCTAATCTGATTATTTATTTATTTATTTATTTATTGCAAAACCAGATTCATGATATTTTATTCCTCACTGGACAGGGAGACCCTGTCTTATGCATAGATGCATTATATATCCATAATTATAGAAGGTATGTTTAAATCATTATTGTCTTAAGAGCCACAGGAGGTGCTGCAACCTTCCAAGAGCTTGACTTCACCCCCAAAGGCACACATCCCCATTGTCTCCTGAGACTGATGGATGCCAACCAACTATAAGTCTTCTTGAACTCAATGGGACATAGTTTAAAGGAGACATGCATAAGCTTGCACTGTTAGCCAGGAACAAATAGAGTATCCTGAGCTAAATATTTGCTCTTCTAACAACGGTGGATTAGATGTTTATTTCCTAGTGTGATAGATCTTATGATCACAGGGAACAACCCCAAGTATTTTAACTGAATGGTTTTGCTGATCGGTCTGTTAGTACAGAACATCCTACTAAATGCAATGTCAGTCCTGTATTGGATGGCATCTATATTATAGCAACATTCTCAGTTCAATTAAATGAAGCTACAGTAAAGTAAAGCACTATCACACTGACAAGCATTTCTGTTTAGGAGTCAATAGAGTACCCAATTTGGTCATTACAAGGAAATATGCTGCTAGGAGTAAGTGATTTAATTATAGGCTGTGAGGAAATAATATGATACACCATGATCTGTAGAACATTAACTATGATGCCTTGGTAGAAATATCAAAAGTTTCTTTCATAGAAGAAGGATG